GAGCTGGGCTGCATCCTCTGCCTCCGAGCTTTGCATCCTCGGTGGCTCTGGTGACAGCAGGGACATCATCCCGATGGATCCCTGTAGGAGCGTCAGGGCTAGCACGGTCTGGACGGACAGAGATGAGAGATCTCTGCAGCCAGGTCTGGAATTTGGGGTTTATTGCAAAGGGCCTGGGTGCAGGGGCCTTTTGGGATTTGGGGTTTATTGCAAAGGGTGCAGGGCCCTGCTGGGAGCTGCAGCCACAGCTCAGAGCAGGCCCGAGAGAAGAGAGGGGGAGACAGGATGAGAGGGTGAGAGAGTAAAAAGGGTAAGAGCATAAAAGGGTAAGAGGGCAAAAGTGTAAGAGAGTGAAGTTCCTGTTACCATACAATAAATCTTCTTCTGTGTTGAATATTCTGATTCTCACTAGCCAATCTAGTACAAGATAAAAATCCTATAGCATTTCCATACAGCCTATAAGAATCATTACATTACCATACTGTGTTACATTTTAAACCCTAAAAACTCCTCTTTGGGCCCCTTCTGCCAAGCTGGCAGGGTCTGCTCGGACCCTTGGGCCTGTCTGCAAGCAGAGTGTGTTGTCTCATCAAAAGGGGTCACCTTTAGCCAGCCACACCACTGTTTTCCAGTTGTTCAGAAATCAGGGTATCTCAAAGCTTGCTTTCATTTCAATCTCGCTTATAGTTTCCATATTCTCAAAATCTTTTGCCAGGCAATCATATTTATAAGGCTTTCCTGTTTCATCTTCCCCAACAGTTCTCTGCACTGCCCAGTCTGGCAGGAGAACAGGAGGGAGCTCTGGCCTCGGGATTAATCCAAATTAATTCTGTTCCTTCTGTGCCTTCCAGGGGCCAGGAGGAAGCCTGGGCTGTACCTGTATTTCCCTCTCCTCTGTTTGCTTTTCACTGTTTATTTGCTTGTTAAATACCCATTTAGCACAAATGTAACTCGGGGGAATGGGATTGCTGGACCAGATGGGTCCCAGAATCTTTGGGAGAAAATCTGAAAAAAGCACAGGGACAAACTCCTCCCAAGCCTTGCTGATTCCTTTTCCTTGGAAAATTCTGCTTCTCTCCAGATTAAGGCCAGGTGGGAGATGATTGGCCCCTGTTTTCTGGAGCTTGGCGAGCTTAAATGAGAGCACGTTGATCTATACTTAATGTGATTGAGTTACATCTCCGAGTATCATGCTAATTAAATTAAACTTCCCACTGCTGCCTCTGAGGCTTAAGCAGGATCGTTGTTTTAAGACCACAATTCACTCCCCTGCATGGCTGAGCAGGTGGGATAAAAGCATTCTGCTAATCAAGTCATCCTGGTGTTTAGAAACAACTTCTAAAGCAAGGGATATTCAAATTTAAATCTGATTGGAGCTGGATTTAAACTCTGCATTTTGAGTCTGGAGTGATTTGTGCTTTGAACGAGGAAAATAACAGGGAAAAAGCAGAAGTAAGAGGGCGAGGCAGTGCACAGACTGGCTGACCACAGTGTCTCAGGTGTAGAAACAGGATACAGGGAAGGAATTGCTCCCTGTGAGTGGGGAGGCCTTGGTATAGGATGCCCAGAGAAGCTGTGGCTGCTCCATCCCTGGAAGTGCCCAGTTTGGACAATTTTGGAGCAGCTGGGACAGTGCAAGGTGTCCCTGCCATGGCAGGGGTGGCACAGGCTGATCTTTAAGTTCCCTTCCAACCCAAACCATTCCATGACCTCCCCAGGACCCCTCTCCCCTGCCCTCCTCCCGTGTCCAGCAGCTCTTTCCACCTTGCAGCTCCCAAAAGCAGCGGAGATGTCAAAGCTCTGCGCTGATGGATCCGACAGCGCTGCCCCTCCGGGGGAGCACCGGCAGCGTTCACGGCTCATTCCCCAGCCAGCCGGGGGCTCTGCCGGCCATGGAGGCACCGAACCGACGGCTCTGCCCAGCCCCGGGCTGGAGAGGAGCATCCACCGTGCTGGGGCCGTGCCTGAGCACAGCGAGATCCCGGAGAACAGCAGCGTGAGCATCCCTGCGCTGCAAACCCGGCACGGCTCGGCTGGGAGCGGCTCTGGGAATGAATAGCTCCCGCCACAGACATCCCTGCAGGCCCAGCTCTGCCCCCCCGAGCGTGATTTAACAGCTCAGTGAGGGAAATGAGAGACTCTTCAGGAGAGAAAGCTTACTTTTAAATGGATGTCAGAGTTTGAAGAGCCGCTGCTTCACACTGGGAAAGGGGTCCCTGTGCAGTGTTTGAAGGATGCTGGGGCTGTCCCTGCTCCCCACAGACCTCTGAGAGCCCTGGCAGTGCCTGAGCCCATCTGCTGAGCCCTCCTGAGCAGGGGCAGGACGTGGGCACAGAGGGGTCTCCCACTTGTCCCACTGTTCCATTCCATGTAAACCACCCGGAGAAAAGAGGCGCCAGCAGCAGAGAAAGAGCTGATTGTGGTGGTGTTTACAGGGGTCTCAGGATGAGGGAAGAGATGCGGATCTGACTCTATGTTTTAGAAGGCTGATTTATTATTTTATTACATATATTATATTAAAATGATATATTAAAAATATACTAAAAGAATAGAAGAAAGGATTTCATCAGAAGGCTAGCAAAGAATAGAAAAAGAATAATAACAAAAGCTCCTGACTTTCAGAAAGTCTAAGCCAGCTCACTGTGATTGGCCATTAATTATAAACAACCACATGATACCAATCACAGATCTACTTGTTGCATTCTACAGCAGCAAATAATTATTGTTTACATTTTCTTCTTTAACCTTGTCAGCTTCTCAAGAGGAAAAAATCTTAAAGAAAAGATTTTTCATAAAATATGTCTGTAACAAAACAATTCCATGACTGTGCGATTCCATCCTTCGACAGCCAAAGCCGCCAGGGCCAGACACAAACAAAACAAAACAAAAAATGAAAAAACACAAATGTGCTTTTAACTGGAGGTTTCTGACGGGTCCCCGTGTGTGTGCCTGGGGGATTAACAGTGTCCAGAGGCTTCCCTGTGCCGGGCAGCTGCGTCACGATGTCACCGTCGTCACAGCAACCCGCTCACCACGGCCCTGGAGCCGCAGATCCGGCCCCATCTCTCCTGGAGCTGCTTTTAATTAAAGCTGGGAAAGGCTGGGAAAGGCCCCCAAAGCCCCGGGAGAACCCGGTGACCCCAGGTCTGTGCAATGAATTTTGCTGTGGAGCTGTCACAGGGCAGAGTGGTGGCTTTGGGGACGCTGCCATCCCATCCTGCGAAAGTTATTTCATTTTCGTGTGGCTTTTCCCCAGCAATTCACACCCCAGAGAGCCCAGATGGATGAGATGACCTTTAAAGGTCCCTTCCATCCCAAACCACCCCACGATTCCCGAATTTCCCCTGCCAGCATCAATGTCACCTCCTTAGCAAAACACACCGTGGAGAGAGAAATAGGGATCTGTCCGGAGGAAACACAGTCCTGTTTTACCACCTCAGCCCCAAAAACTGAGCTGGAATCCCCTCCCCTGGGTGGCACCCACGGGGTGATGGTTATTCACACAAGGTGAGGTGATGCTGGTCCCTGCAGGGTCAGGCTGGTCCCTATGGGATAATTCTGGTTCCTGCAGGGTCAGGCTGGTGCCTGTGGGATAATGCCAGTCCCTGCAGGGTCCCCATCAGGTGATGCTGGTCCCTGCAGGGTCAGGCTGGTCCCTGTAGGATTTTCCAGTTCCTGCAGGGTCAGTCTGGTCCCTATGGGATAATTCTGGTCCCTGCAGGGTCAGACTGGTGCCTGTGGGATAATACCAGTCCCTGCAGGGTCCCCATCAGGTGATGCTGGTCCCTGCAGGGTCAGACTGGTCCCTGTGGGATAATGCTGGTCCCTACAGGGTCAGGCTGGTCCCTATAGGATAATACCGGTCCCTTCAGGGTCAGGCTGGTCCCCATGGGATAATGTCAGTCCCTGCAGGGTCAGGCTGGTCCCTGTAGGATTTTCCAGTTCCTGCAGGGTCAGGCTGGTCCCCATGGGATAATGCCGGTCCCTGCAGGGTCAGACTGATCCCTGTGGGATGATGCTGGTCCCTGCAGGGTCCCCATGAGGTGATGCTGGTCCCTGTCGGGTCAGGCTGGTCCCTATGGGATAATACCGATCCCTGCATGGTCAGGCTGGTCCCTGTAGGATTTTCCAGTCCCTGCAGGGTCAGGCTGGTCCCCGAGCTCAGGGTCTGCCCTCCCCAGCTCCCTTTGATCAGAGCACAGCTCTGTTCCCTGCTCTCCGTGCCGTGGGTTTCCAGCGGGAGGTGGGGAAGCGCAGTCAGCCCGACCCTCCCCTCCTCGGAGCTGTCATCAGCCGCACGCAGAAATCCTCCCCAAGTTACCCAGCCTGAATCCTGCAGGATTTGCCCGGGTGGCAGCATGGCAGAGCAGCCCTGCCTGCGTCCCCCTGCCAGCCCTGCAGCCCCGAACCCCCAGGCCCACCCCAGGGACAAGTGGAGCAAAAAGATGGATTTCCTCCTCTCCGTCGTGGGATTCGCCGTCGATCTGGGCAACGTCTGGCGGTTCCCTTACATCTGCTATCAGAATGGAGGGGGTAAGGACACCACTGGGCTTATTCAAGTCTCCTTTTTGGAGAAAAGATGCCTTTTTCCTCGTTTTCCATCTTTCCCACCCTGAAAGATTCACTGTTTCTTCTCCTCCTTTGTTTGCAGCTGCTCCACTTCAGACAGGGCGGTTTAAAGACCGACCCAACTTCTCCCAACATCTGTCTCTTTTCTGTTTGTGTCTTTCTTCATTCAAAATGCTCCTCCACCCCCTCCATCCTCCTTCCCTGGGGTCCTTTCCCCATCTCCTGGTCTTTCCCTCTTTTTCTGGTCTTTCCCTCCATCCCTGGGCTTCCCCTCCTTCCCCAGTGGGGTTAGAGGTGCGTTAGCGGCTCTAGGATCACAAAGGGAAAATCAGCATGGTCCAAACTGCAAAAAAGGATAAAGATCCATAAATTTGGGCTGGGAGGTTCACACATTTGATGATTTTGGGACTCTGGGAAGCTGCTCCTGGTTTAAAATCATCCTCATGGATATCCCACCCTCCTGCTGTGGATCCTGGTTGGCAGTGCTGGACATCACTATCAGCCCCAGCTTTGAGGGATCAATGGGAAGCAAAGACACAGAAAAACACCACAAAGGGAAAAAAAACCTCCAGTAAATGACAACTAAATAAATTGTTGGGAATGGAGCAGGATAGAAACCCCCCTCCCATGGAAATGAAAAAGGAGGGATGAGGATTTTGTGCTGTTTGGGGAAGCGCAGCGGATTTAATTGCCAAAGTTGGCTTTCGGGGGGAGCATCCTCCACTGCTTGGGAAAATTAGAAAGAGGTAATTAGTTCCATACTCAAGGCAAAACTGTGGATCCCAGGTGCCCACGTTGAAACAGAGTTATTTGTGAGCTGCTCCTGTGGGATTGGGAGCAGAGCTGAGCCCCTCTGCGTGCCTGTGGCTCGGGTGGGAGGTTTCCACCTGCCCCACACACATGGGAGGGTGAGGAGTTCAGAGAGCAGCTCTGGGGGAGCACAGCCCCATGGAGGGGGGACACTGGGATGGGCAGCACTGGGCTCACCCACAATTCAGGCTCTGCCTGGAGGGAAAACACTGAAAACACTTGGTCCTGTTGGGCCAGCCCTGCCAGGGGGGGTGCAGGAGGGTGCTGGGGATATTTGGGATACTGGAGGTGACTGGGAGGTGATTTGGGATACTGGGAGTGCTGGGGATATCAGGGATGCTGGAAGTGCTGGGGGTTTTGGGGATACTGGGGGTGCTGGGGGTACCAGAGATGCTGGAGGTGCTGGGGGTTTTGGGGATATTTGGAATGTTGGGGTGCACCACAGTCACATCTGTCACAGGGAGGAGCCGTGGGGACTCCTAAATTAACTAATCCCAGCAGAACTCAGAGAGCAGTTCCACTCCCAAAATCTCCATGGGGTACAAGTGTAGCCCCAGTAAAAATGAGGATGTAATGAATAATGCAGATTACAGCGCTAATGATGTGTCTTGGGGTGGCTGTGCACATTCAGTCAGATTTTCCTCCAAAACTCTGCCAGACCTGAGGGGTGCTGGGTGTCCCCTCCTCTGTGTCCCAATGGTTTGTGTGGCTCTTTGTTCCGTGCTGGCCAAATGGTGCCTCCCCAGCAAGGGCTGGGAGCACAGAAAGCTGGAGCACCAAGCAGGTCTCACATCCCTGAGCTCCTCTGACCACATCTCAGGGTCTCACATCTCTGAGTTCCTCTGACCAGATAATCTCCAAATCTTCTCACAAACACATCCAGACCTGCTGGGGCAGTGCTAGGAGGGAGGGAGGTGACAATGCCATGGTCCCCTGGTGTTCACCCTGCTCTGCTCCCCCTCACAGGAGCCTTCCTCATCCCCTACACGCTGATGGCCGTTTTTGGGGGGGTGCCCCTCTTCTACATGGAGCTGGCCCTGGGGCAGTTCCACAGGACAGGCGCCATCCCCATCTGGAAGCGCATCTGCCCCATCTTTAAAGGTGAGAGACCGCCCCAGCTGGGGTGACACCCTGAGCCCCAGCAGGTCCCCATGGCTGTGTCCCAAAGCTGATCCTGATCCTGCTTCCTCCAGGCATCGGCTTTGCCATCTGCATCATCGGCCTCTACGTCTCCTTCTACTACAACACCATCATTGCCTGGGCTCTCTACTACTTCTACTCGTCCTTCTCGGGCACCCTGCCCTGGGCCAGCTGTGACAACCCCTGGAACACCCCTGCCTGCACCAACTACTTTGGGAAGAGCAACGTGACCTGGACCAACTTCTCCAGGTCCCCCGCCGAGGAGTTTTACACGTGAGTGCAAGGGTGCGAGCTGGGCACATCCCTGACGGGTTTCTGAGGTGGGGATGCTCCTGAGGAGCTCAGGGACTGCCTGCCTGGAGCTGAGTGTGCTCCCAGCCCCGGGGATCCCATCCTGCAGGAGGAAGGTGCTGGAGATCCAGAAATCCGGGGGTCTGTATGACATCGGGGGGATCCGCTGGCAGCTGCTCCTCTGCCTCTTCCTCATCTTCACCATAGTCTACTTCAGCCTCTGGAAAGGGGTGAAAACCTCTGGGAAGGTGAGAGAGCTCCAGCACTGCCCTGCCAGGGCAGGAGGGACCCCTCACCTGGTAGGATCTTGCCTTCCCCAAGAGGGGATGTCACCTCCTCCCCATCCCCTGTCCCTGAGGCCACCCTGAGTGAGCCCAACGCAGGGTTTGGGTGGTCAGTGGTGACACAGGGTGACAGTGCCTCGCTCCAGGTGGTGTGGGTGACAGCCACGCTGCCCTATGTGGTCCTGCTCATCCTGCTCATCCGAGGGGCCACCCTACCCGGAGCCTGGAGAGGAGTGGTGTTCTACCTGCGCCCAGACTGGGGCAAGCTGCTGAGCACTGAGGTGAGTGAGGGTGGGAGCACCCAGAGCCCTCCAGAGCCCCCCTGTCACAGACATCCTTCATGAAAAATCCTTTCCTTAAGATTTTTCCTCCTGAGAAGCTGGGAGGCCTCAGGAACAAAATACAAACATTGATTATCTGCTGCTGTGGAATGCAACAAGTAGATCTTTGTTTGGCCCATGTTGGTTGTTTCTAATTAATGGCCAATCACAGTGAGCCTTTGTTATCATTCCTTCTTATTCTATTCTTTGCTAGCCTTCTGAGGAAATCCTTTCTTCTATTCTTTTAGCATAGTTTTAATATAATATATATCATAAAATAATAAACCAAGCCTTCTGAAACATGGAGTCAGATCGTCATCTTTCCCCTCATTTTATGACCCCTGTGAACACCATCACACACACCCACCCACCCATCTGGGCATGGCAGCACCCAGAACCCCTCCCCAGGACACCCACCCAGCCCTGCCCATGGGTCTGGGCACACCACAGGGCAGTGGGGCCCTTGTTCCCACAGAAACGGCCCCTGGACAGGCTCTTGGAAATGTAAATCCGTAATTGAATCACCCATCTCATTCTGGCTGGTTTTGTTTGTGCTCTGCTCCCCCCTGGGCTGACAATGGGCTTCCTGTGGGTAATTACCAGGCAGCACTTGAGAATTCTCATTAAAGGTAATGAGGGCTGCCAGCACTGAATGTGCCAGGCAGGAGTGGGCACAGCAGGCTCGGGGCTCCCCTCCATCCATCCATCCATCCATCCATCCATCCATCCATCCATCCATCCATCCCTGCTCCAAGGGGGACACTGCTGGGTGTCCAGGGTGGGAATGAGCTCATTCCATGCCACAGCAGCTCCTCAGGGCCCAGGACATCTCCTGGGGGCACGGGGCAGCAGGAGAGGAGCTCTGCACCCTCCTCTCTGGACATTCCTAGCACAGCCCCATCCCTGTGCCACTGGTTCTGTGGGGCACCTCCCATCTCCATCCCAGCCCCAGGGATCTCCTGCCCTGCCCATGTTCCTGTTGTTTCTCTCTCCAGGTCTGGGTCGATGCTGCTGCACAGATTTTCTTCTCCTTGGGCCCTGGATTTGGAGTCCTCCTTGCTCTGGCCAGTTACAACCATTTCCACAACAACTGCTACCGGTGAGGGTCCATCCCAGGGGGCACACATGCAGCGGAGGCACATTGTGGCAGCTCCTGGTCCCTTGTGCCATATCCCAACAGATCCTGGTCCCCACTGCCACATCCCAATAGATCCTGGTCCCCACTGCCACATCCCAATAGATCCTGGTGCCCCCAATAGCTCCTGGTCCTCACTGCCACATCCCGATAGATCCTGGTCCCCACTGTCACATCCCAACATCTCCTGGTCCCCACTGCCACATCCTTGGTCCCCCCTGGCTGCAGCCTGGGCATCTTTCCCCATTTCACGGATGGTTTGGTGTGACGGGCCAGGAGAGGGAACTGGAGTGGGGCAAGGCCAGGGCAGCTGGAGCAGGGTGAGGCCTGACCTGGAGTGGGGTCTCTGCCTCTTTTCTGCCCCCCAGGGATGCCCTGGTCACCAGTGCTGTGAACTGCCTCACCAGCTTCCTCTCGGGCTTCGTCATCTTCACCGTGCTGGGCTACATGGCCGAGATGCGGGACGTGGAGGTGGAGGATGTGGCCAGAGACAAAGGTTCTCCTCCCTCCTTCAGCCTCTTCCCACGCCCAGGGCTGTGCCAGGGAGCAGCCAACCAAGCCAGTGTCCCCTCCCAGGGCCCAGCCTCCTCTTCATCACCTACCCTGAAGCAATTGCCAACATGGTGGGATCCACCTTCTTCGCCATCATCTTCTTCCTGATGATGATCACCCTGGGGCTGGACAGCACGGTAGGAGGGGACAGCCCAGCTGTGTCCCCAGCAGGGACCAGGGTGGCCATGTCCCATGGGGTGACAAGGGGAGTTTATGGCCTTGGGATGGGATGGGATGGGATGCGATGGGATGGGATGCGATGGGATGGGATGCGATGGGATGAGACCGAACATCCCTGCTGTGCCATGTGGATGTTTTTGGAGAGCAGGGCAGTCTCCACACCCCATTTCCCCACCCCTCACCAGCATTCCTTTGCAGTTTGGAGGCTTGGAGGCCGTGATCACGGCCGTGATGGACGAGTACCCCCAGGTCCTGGCAGGGCGACGGGAGCTCTTCGTCCTCGGCCTCATCACCGTCTGCTTCCTGGGCTCCCTCAGCACCCTCACCTACGTGAGTCCCCCTGCCACCACCCTGCCCTGGCCCTCCAAATCCCCTCCTTCACCCCATGGCCTCTGCAGCCTCCCCCTGCTGCTCCAGGGGGGAGCCTACGTGGTGAAGCTGCTGGAGGAGTTCGGTGCTGGCTGCTCCATCCTGGCAGTGGTGCTGCTGGAAACCATCGCTGTCTCCTGGTTTTACGGTAAGAAACTGCATTCCTCTGTCGTGGAAAACACTCTGTGGCCACCTACAGGGGTGTGTGGCCCTGCACAGGTGAGTAAATCCTGGGCACAGGGTCCTGGCTGGGGGTCCTGGCCAGGCTGGGATGGGAGCAGAGGGCTGGGATGGGAGCAGTTGTGTCCATGTGGATACCCCTGACCCCACATCCCGGGGCTCTGAGGGCTCTCTCCTCTGGCAGGGATCCAGAGGTTCTCCCACGATGTCAAAGCCATGCTGGGCTTCACCCCAGGGCTCTTCTGGAAGCTGTGCTGGGTCGCCATCAGCCCAGCCTTGCTGGCGGTGAGTACCCATGGCCAAATTATGGACAAGGTCATTGCTGTCCCTCTGGACACCCTGCAGCCTCTCCCCTCTGCTGCCCAGCTCCCCATGCCATGGATAACTCCCCTCTCACCCACACAAGCTGCCAGGAGAGCAAACAGGGCTGTGGGACCTCACACCAGCCCTCCCCACTCTGCTGCTCCAGCCACAGTGGCCACATCCCCAGGATCTCACCAGGAAAGAAAGCTGGATGTTCACTTCCCAGCCTTTTCCACAGCTCCAGGTGCTCACACAGGTGCCAGCTCAGCTTTTCCTCACCCTCCCAGCACTCAGCATCCCTGGCAGGGCTGGCCATGGGTCCATGTCCCCCGTGCTGGGCTGGATCCATCCCTTTGAAACGCCAGCTCCCAGGGCACTTCAAAGGCTGCCGTCGGCACAGGGGTCTGATCTCACTGGATCTGCAGGACGGGAGGCCTTGTGAGGATTAATTATGGCTCTAAGCACTCTGCCCTGGTTATTAAGAGAGGAGTGTTATCATCAAAGCACACACAGCACAGGGTTTTGTTTCAGCACGGGGCTGAGCAGCCCTCGCAGGGATTGTCAGACAGAGCTCCCAACCCTCACCCAGCCACGGTGGCAGCCTGGGAGGTGTCCCTGTGATGTCCATGCTGGATGGGATTTGGGGTGACAGGGGGAGCAGCAGGACGTGGAGGGTGCTCAGAGAATCATGGAAATTCAGAATGGTTTGGGTTGGAAGGGACCTTAAAGATTATCTGGTTCCATCCCTGTACCCTGATAATGTGATGGCGTTCACAGGGGTCGGAGGATAAGGGAAGAGATGAGGATCTGACTCCATGGTTCACAAGGCTGATTTATTATTTTATGATATATATTACATTAAAACTATACTAAAAGAATAGAAGAAAGGATTTCCTCAGAAGGTTAGCTAAGTATAGAAAAAGAATTAATGATTACAAAGGCTTGTGGCTCAGACTCTCTGTCGAGCCAGCTGACTGTGATTGGCCATTAATTAGAAACAACCAACATGGGCCAATCACAGATCTACCTGTTGCGTTCCACAGCAGCAGATAACCATTGTTTACATTTTGTTCCTGAGGCCTCTCAGCTTCTCAGGAGGAAAAATCCTAAGGGAAGGATTTTTCATGAAAGATGAAAAATGTGCAACACTGATAACATGTGGGGTGAGCTGCCATCAGTGCCAGGTCTGAGGAGATCAGGGAATTATTTAGGTTGGAAAAGCCCTCTAAAATCGAAGAGCTCATGCTTTACCTAGCACTGCCAAGGCCACCACCAACCCTGGTCCCCGAGGGCCACATCCACACATCTGCTAAAGCCCTCCAGGGATGGGGACTCCACCACTGCCCTGGGCTGGACAGCCCTTTTAGTGAGGAAATTTTCCCTGATGTCCAGCCTGGCACAACCTGAGGCCACTTCCTCTGGTTCTGTCCCTTGTTCCCTGGAAGCAGAGCCCAATTCCCATCTGGCTGCACCCTCCTATCAGGGAGTTGTGGGAAGATAGCAAATCCTTCCTGAGCCTCCTTTTCCCCAGGCTGAGCCCCTTTCCAGCTCCCTCAGCTGCTGCAGCCCCTTCCCCAGCTCTGTTCCATTCCCTGGACGTGTCTGTCTTTTTGTGAGGGGCCCAAACTGCTCACAGGACTGGAGGCCCCTGTGGTTCTGCTCGTTTCAGTTCATCGTCATCAGCTCCCTCCTGGAGCAGCCTCCCCTGACCCTCTTTGAGTACCAGTACCCCGAGTGGAGCATCTCCGTGGGATTCCTCATCGGGGCATCCTCCTTCATCTGCATCCCCCTGTACATGGTGTACAAGCTCGTCTGGACCCCGGGGTCCCTCAAGCAGGTCAGGAGTGACAATGCCAGGGCTCCTGGGTGGGCTGGGGTGGGCAGGGACCCCCTTTGGGGAGCCGGGCTGGTTGATGCATCCTTGTGGTGGTGTTCACAGGGGTCTGAGGATGAGGGAAGAGAGGAGGATCTGACTCCATGTTTTAGGAGGCTGATTTATTATTTTATTATATATATTACATTAAAACTATACTAAAAGAATAGAAGAAAGGATTTCATCAGAAGGCTGGCAGAATAGAATAGGAAAGAATGATAACAAAGGTTTGTGGCTCGGACTCTCTGTCCGACCCAGCTCACTGTGATTGGCCACTAATTAGAAACAACCACATGAGACCAATCACAGATGCACCTGTTGCATTCCCCAGCAGCAGATAACCATTGTTTACATTTTGTTCCTGAGGCCTCTCAGCTTCTCAGAAAGAAAAAATCCTAAGAAAGGATTTTTCATAAAAAATGTCTGTGACACATCCTCAGCATCTTTGTTAAGCGGCAATTCAATCCCACCGGGATTTAACGCCCTGGGGAGGGCTCAGAGGAGGGAAACGCGCTGTGTTTTATCTCTCCATCAGCGCCTCGCCGTCTGCATTCGGCCCGAGAAGCTGCTGCGAGCCCCCCAGGCAGAGGGGCTGGGCATGAACCCCGTCCTGTAGCGCGGGGGACACGGGGACAGCTCAGGCTCCCTCCTTGGCACCCAAAAGGGGCAGCTCCTCACCACGGACCGGACCCGGCATCTCCACGAGCATCCCCGGAGGGGCAGAGCCCGCTCTCGCTGCTGGCACGGAGGAAACCACGGCAGGGAGAACGGGAACAGCGCTGCAGCCCCTGGGGGACAAACACCCGGGGATGGGGGAGAACCCCCCCAGTTCCCGGAGCAGATGGAGGAATTGCCTCGCTCCGAGGTTCCCCCGTGCGTGTCTGTAGCTGTGCAGTGAGTGTTTGGAAAATAAAGGTGATGATGATGCTCGGAGATGAGGGGAGGGAGAGGAGCTGGAGCTCGCAGTGTTCATGGAGCGCCGCGCGGGGCTCAGAGCCCGGGTTGGGGGACAGGAGGGCTATCGTTGTCCATGGGGTGCTGTCGCTGTCCAGACACACTTTGTCCTGCTAAAAACATCCCAAATCCGGCCGAGCCCGGGGGTGGGTCCCAGGTGCTGCTGAAGCCGGGCAGGTCGGTGCCTCCTGCCGCCCCATTGGGGGGGATGCAGGGAATAGGAATTTAAAGAGGGGAAATACCCTAATATACCTCATTTTAAACCCAAACCCTGGCTCGGGGTGAGGCATCCCTGGGTCGGTGTCAACAGCCACCTGCCGTGGCTTCTTATTCCCATCACTCTCAGAGCAGCATCACTGCTCCTCGTTGTTTGGGGACCTTAAAACACCGGGAAGAAACCACGTTGGTGACAGCGCGGCTTGGGGGGACACACGGGGATTGGGGGGACATACAGAACTGGGGGGCAGAGGATGCCCACGGCGTGCAGGGATGCGCGGGGTGGACGCGCGGGTCTGCCCCGGGCGCAGCGCTCCCGGTGCCGCTCCCGGTTCCCGTTCCACCGCCCCGCTCCCCCGGAAGGCCGGGGCCGGGGCGGGGCGGGCGGCAGGAAGGGGCAGGGCCGGTGCCGGCGCACAAAGCCCGGCGGGTCGGTGCTGTCGCGGCGCGATGGGGCTGGCGGCGGCGCGGGGCTGGGCGCTGTCCCCGCTGTCGCCGGGCCCGGCGGAGCGCAGCCGGCCCTACGCTGTGCTGCAGCACCAGAACCTGGGTGAGGAGCGGGGGGCACCAGGGACAGTCCCGCCACGACCCGGCCGGGGGCTCGGGAGATGCTCAGGGAGTGTTGAATTAATGTTCTTTCTCTTGCCGCCGCAGTGCTGCTGGGCAGCATCCTCAGCGCTCTGCTGCTCACCATCATCCTCATGGCCATCTGCGTGTACCGGCCCGTCCGGCGGCGGTAGCGGAGCGAGACCCGCCGGGGCATCCAGAGAATGCTGCATCCCACCCGGTTCTCCCGCCTGGAATCCGCCATCCCAGCACCGCTTCAGCCCTGCCGGTTCTCCCGTCCGGTACCCACCGTCCCGGCTCTGCTCCGGACCCAGCAGGTTCTCCCCTCCGGTTCCCACCGTGCCACCGCTGCTCCGGTCCCGCCCGTTCTCCTGTCCGTTCCCGGGGATGCGCTGAGGATGCGAGCGTGGCTTTTCCCCCATCTGTGCCCGTGCTGTATCCCGTGGCTGCATCGTGATGTGGCTTCCAGCAGTGCTCTGCTGGGATGCTCTGGCGGGATGCTGGAAATCATCCTCTTCCTCAGCAAAGACTCCTGGAGCTCCTGGGGCGTGTCCTGGAGCAGGGGCTGAGCAAAACCTCCCAAATCCCCGCGTTTTGGCGAGGCTGATCCCACCCCGTGTGCTCCAGAGCATCCCCGGGCCGTGCAGGCACCCAGGGCCTCGGTTGGCACCAAGGACAGGACGAGACTGGCGGCATTGTGCGAGCAGCAGCTCCACGTGCTCGGTCACACCGCGTCTGCTTTTTGCTTTCTGATTGATTCAGGTCCTTGTTTGAACGCCGAGTCCTGGGGGTTGGACGGGGCTTGGAGCAAGCTGGGGTAGCGGGCAGGGGGTAGAACAGGATGAGCTTTAAGGTCCCATTCAAAAATATCCCAAAGGTAAAAGCTCAGTGAGCCAGCCAGCAGTGGGTGGAGGGCCTGGCCCATTCCTGCCACTGATGCATGACCTGATCCTGGTGTAGTTTTTCCCAAGCCAGGCTTCTCATTCCCAACGTTATTTGCTTTAACTCCTGGCTGAAAAGCCCCAAATAACCTCCCATCAAACCAGCCCTGCTGAACCTGTTGGGAACTGGGGTGCAGGTGAGGGGTTCCAACACGTGCTGGTCATTGCTGTCCTGCAAGCAGGAGCCTCCAAAGGTCTGCAAGCCAGGCAGATGTCCTGGAAGAGTTTCAGCTCCAGCCAGACCCATTTTATGCAGTTTCAGTAACAAGTGTTTACACTGAATCCCATTTCCATACGAATGCTGCTATTTTGTTTTGCACTGCTACAAGTAGTAACTGGATTTTACTAATTATTACTTTAATATTTAACATAGGGGTGTTTTGCTTAGTAATTTATTTAGAGTTTTAAAATGTAACTTCCAGAACAATTGTTGTTGACCTGTTCTCAAGCCCTCGTGCTGCCTCTTAGGTGTTTTCTGTTCTGTTTCAAGGACGCTGAGTGCTGGCATTGAACAGGGATTTTCTTTGTTTTGAGAAATGACAGAGTGAGCCTGGCCTCGAGCAGATGGAGTTGTTAATCCAAGAGTGAGGCAGCAAGGCAGCACTGTTCTTTCTATTGCTTTCTGCTCCTCCTTTTGATTCCTGTGTTCCTGATTTCCCCTGCTCCTTCATCGCTGTGAAGCCTGGCCTGCAGCCTGTGCTGCTCGTGGGGGTGGATGGTGAAGCTCCCAGCCCCAGCTCTGCATTCCCAGGAGCAGAATTCCTGTTTGCTCTCATTCCTCACTCCCTGCTATGCCTCTTTGTACAAATAAAAACGCTCAGTAAACAATCCAGGCTCTTATTTATTCAATGGCTGTGCTGTTTGTTATTAACTGGGCTGGAAAGGGGTGAGGCTGTCCTGGTTCCCACCTCTGGTCCCCTCATGGCTCCTACCTTGTTTTTAGTGGGATTGCAGTGCTGGGGAAAGCCAGGGAAGAGGATGGCAGGGCTGGGGGAATGTTTCCATGGATGTCTGTCAGCAAGGAGCCCTTTAACAGCACAATGGAAGCAGATCCTACAAACGTTGTGCAGTTTCCAGCAGCTCAGCTATGAATCAAAACTCGGCCAAAGCAGTGTAAGAAGGGTTTCCAAATAAACAGAATCATGAATTGCTGATGTGAAAAGCTTTGAAATGGGGTCAAAAGCACAAAAAAAAAAAAAAGCACAGTCTTGCTTTCAGGAACTAGCAGCATGAAATTAAAGAACTTTTAAAGCTGGTTATAGTTTTAGAAGAAGCTACAGGTGTTTGTAACTCTGAGCTTCTCTTTCCCACATCAGCCTCAAGCTGCCTCAGAGAGAGGTTGGACTGTTTACACAACAGTTTTGGCCCTAATATTAAACCCACTCAGAACTCTCTGCACCTCTCTCACAAGAAGCTGCAGAGAGAAATTAATAGGATTTCCTGCTTTTCACTTCCTTAACTTCTGTGTTGTACTGATCCCCCCTTTTCAAGACAGGGAGACTCAAAATTTCGTTGAAAATGTCCAAAAGCCAGAACTACCCTGGAGAGTTTCACAGATGATAATGTCACTTTAATGTACAAAAAGATAATTAATAGAAAAAAATACTCCAAATACAGTGAGAAAAAATACCTGTGTGTGGTGTAATGTGCAGTACCTTTGGTTTTTCTTCCAGCACACAGAGCATGTCCATCTTACATGAAAGGGTTAAGTCAGGCTTTAAGAGAAGCAGCACCTGGCTGAGGGAAGCAGGGCCTTCTAGTTTTAGCTGGAATGATACAAATGTCAAAGAAAGCAAAAAAAAAAAACCCCAAAGCTAATCCATCCAATTTATTTTACAGTCCCAGACTAAGAAGCAGGAGCGTAACAAAACTTCAACTGAAAGTGCTCAATGTTCTTTAGTTTAAATATAAAACCAGAACAAGTCAGCTTGAAAAAATGCTATTTTTACCCTTCTTGTAACCTTTGAAAAGCTTAGCAGAAGACAGGCAATGCCAGGCAGGGTTTGTAAAGGCAACAGCACTCTTTATTCCCACTGGAGGAATGCCCACAGCTCCAGCTCCTGCCTCCCACCCTGCCAGGAGCTCAACATGAGATCCCCTCCCTTCTCCCAACTGTGACAGTCACAGGAATCCCCTTTTGCAAAGAAAGAAATCCCAACCCAGCCCCTGTGCGGGACAGTCCCCATTCCAGCAGCTGTTTTCAGCGATGCAAGTTGTGCCAGGGAACAAACCCAGTGTGGACAGGCCAGTCCTAGTGTACACTGAAGGAATTGTAATCATCTCCTATGTAAAACAATGGATTACTGGTTTAAAATAGGCTTCCAACTGCCCCACTGGTTATGATCAAGTCCATTTTAGAGTGATTTTACATTGGTTAATTAATAGTTGGTCACCCAGAAGTGCCCTGTTCAGCCTGAGGAACAGGAGCAGTGTTAGGAGCAAGCTCAGAGCAGCTGTACCAAAGGTTCCTCCAGCCCTGGCAGGCAGGGCAGAGGGATATTGCTCACATTTAACAAGTGTAAGGCTTTCCTGTGGCTGTTCACCGTGTACCTGTGGAGTGCACTTGAGAGTCACAGTGTGAGTACTGTAAACACCGAGAGGAGTGCAGATAAAAGAGCTACAAAGATCCTGCATGGCCAAAAACCTGAGGAAAGCTGGTTAAAACAGACCTAGGAATCGTTACAAGACCAGTTGGATGAGTGTAGGCCTAGTGGTTTGGTTTAAAATCAATACAAATATTCAGGTAAAAAAATAGATGTATTCACATGAAGGACGAGAGCTGGGGTTTTAAAAAGCAACACACGTTTCCCTTGCAGAATGAAACTTCTCTTCCAATAAGGACACATGAAAATCTCCCCTGAATTCTTTGCCTGGCTGCTTTTAGCACCCACACTCAGCCATGCACACCAAGAGATCCCAAAGAAGCACCTGTATCTATCTATGCCTTAATTTCTTGCTGCCCTCTGAGCAGGGGAAAGAGCTGGTTTGGAATCAATGCAGAAATTGCTGCTGTACTGGACAGATGGTCCCATTTCAGCATCTAAAATGTTACTGGCTACTTGGTTTGTCCTTTTTTCAGAAAGCACTAGTTTAATCTGGAGCTTGGATGAGCTGTTCAAGTATAAAATTATCCCTCTTAAGCCAAAAATCTCAATAACTAGAGGAGAGATAACCATATCTAAACAAAACTAACAGAAACCATCTGTCAGCATGAAGAACTACAGTGTGTGTAGAGGCAGGGAGATGCTCTCCCATGAAACAGCTGGAAAAACAGGCAATGGCTTTGAATTATTAAGAAATAATGAAGCAGATGAGTATTTCTTTGGTAAGTAATGAAGTTTCCCTCCTGAACTCCCCATAAATCAGGCTTTCAAGCTTTACTGCAATCCTACATCCTGATGCAAAGCAAAATTTCCATCTGCTCTTCAATAAATAAGTTTAGATAAAAACATTTCCTTCAAAGCTAAGACTGCATGGCTGGGGAGCCAGATGTGGAGTCCTGTGATGTACAACTCCCCCAAACAAAAATAAATCAGCTTTTTGCAGCTGATGCCAACTTAGAAGGCAGCAAAACGTTTCCTTAAGCAATCCAGGAGTGGTCTTCAGACTGACAGCTCTGACAATCTCCAGTTTTACACAGATTTGGTCATCCCTGCTTCAGGAGGTCACTTAGGAGTTATTTTTCCACAAGAGAGAGCTGTAAAACTTGCTGAAGCTCTGCATCCTCCTGCTCCCGACGCTGCTTCTCCTGCTCCTCCTGCTCCCTCACTGACAATTCCATGGCAAGCTGCAAGTCCTTCTCAAAGCTGGAGGCTTCACTGGAGGTGCTGCTGTGGGAGGTCCCTGATCCTGACAGGAAGCTCTCCTGAAGGGCCCTGATGGAAAAGAACAACTCTGAGAAGGAAAAGAGACAGAGCCTGACTCGTATTCTTTGCAATGATCCTTCCTGGCAACTTTTTAGATTCACAAATCTGAAAATCTCCTCCAGAGGGGAGAAAACAGTTTGAGGATATGACAGCAGCTGTTCCAACAGCTGTAAAATTCCCAATGACAAACAGGGATTCCTTTGAATTGTTCATAGATACCAACAGTTGTATTTTCAATGGGCCTCTAAAAGCATTCTCACCTGGTTTAAAGGATTTTTCATGTATAGAAGAACCCAGAAGTTTCAGTTCTTGGTTTCTTTGCACTTAACTGCAGGAAGACTCCACAGACACCAGAGCCCATTTTTAGGTGTCCATTAAATCTATGTTTTTAAGGATTACATAAGGATTTTGAAAAGAAAGATCTGCCTTGAAGTGTGCAGCCTCTAATAACCAAAGATTCAATGCAGAGGGACCAAATTCAGAGTTTTAAGAGGAGCACTGGGTTTGTATGTTGGGCAAAGAATCTGCTGTGTGCACAGACCAGCCCCACAGCTGGAAAGAACTACACAACATAAACCAGGGAGGCCCAGGTTGGAGTTCTTGTTTCTTAGAAAAGTTGGAAGAAGCACAAGGAGAAACCTCAAGTTTTGTGCATTTGCTCATATATATTAAGAAAAAAAAAAAGGCCAAATGCTTCATGGTACTGCTGGGGCTATTTTTGCTCTGTCACTGCAAGGTTTGATGTGGAAATAAAACTTACTTCTGATACTGCATGTTGAAGTCTGAGGAATATGCAACTGCTCCATTGGAAAGCATCTCCAATTCCTAGAGAAGGGCAAAGAGACAATTCCACAGCAGTTATCAGATCTGCAGAGTAACTCACTGAAAACAACCCTTAAACCACCTTTATTTCTTCTTTCAAATACATTATTTTTATCTTCTAAAGTCTGAAGTAGAAAAACTGATCCTACACTGGTTTCCTTCAGCTCTTTCTGCACAGTCCTTGCCCAAGCTGCCACAGCACAGACCCCAGCACTTACTTTATTTGCACCAGACTCCAACAAGCTCTGCTGGATGGCAAACTGCATGATCTCATTATCCTCATCCTGCACGTGGATGTTCCTGCCATCATCCTGGACATGGTAGGACTTGGGGATCTCAAACACCGACTGGTCAACCTCAAAATTAGCACCTACAGAAGGTAAATAAAGTTAAAAACACACCGTGCCCTGTTTGCAACAAGTTGTAACTGAAAATTCTGATGAATGTTTTTGCACCTTGCAGCTCCTCATGGTCCATTTCCTGCAGTTCAGCTTCTCCCTCAGGGACAGGGATGTAAAAAAGGTGGGATTTCCTTACCTGCATCACTCTGTGCACCTCCAGGAGAGGGTCTCTCAGCTGTCCTGCAGCTGTTGACATTTTCAAAAGTAATTCGAGCATTCAGCACATGAAACAGGGGAATTTCTGTAAGAGAGCAAGATTTCTGTCAAAATAAGAACAATTATTTGCTTCCACAAGAGCTTCCTATAATGACAAAGCACAGAGGAACTAAACTCACCAATAAGGTGGCTTTAGTTATTTATTATTATTTTTTTAGCTCAATCTCTCTCTAAATCTCTTATTTTAAAATAACATTTGCCTAATTTAAGGCACTGAAGCTAAGTCGAAAGGGGCTGACAACAGCTCATTCTCACACAAATTACATTGTCTTCAAAATGATATTTCTGGATTGACTCCAGATGTACAAAACATTTTAGGTAGCAGTGATACAACTAAAAAGGCAATGTGGTTTTTTGTCCACAATACATTACAAAACCAAAGGGAAAAAAAATGGACAAGGTTACAATAAAAATTGCTAAACGTTACCAATTTTGACAGGAAATCCTGGTGGAAATTCCAGAGTGATGAAATCCCTAAGTCTGGCAAAATGAGCACTGGTTCTGGCCATCAGGTCAATGATTGGAGTGACTTGTTCCATGAGAGACAAGGGGAACTCTTCACTCATCCACAGGGTTGCTTTAAATCTTAAAGACAAAGTAGGATAAAAACATCCTAAATTCACAGTTTAGGAACAGATGTAAAGCAAAACAGGCAGCTGGGCAGTGATAGGAGGTTACTAACAAGTCACAGCACCAGCCCAAATGTTTGTTTTGACTCAGTGGAATTAAAAATAGATTATAGCTGAATACTACAAAATCTGCCTTCTAATTAATTGTGAAAACTGGGGGAAAACCACACTGGATATTTGCAAAAATGGTTTCCAGGGATTAGATAACTGGGAAGAGACCAACTAGAAATAGTTAAAATGGTATTTCTCACTTCTGTGTTCTAACAGTGACTTCCTTTGGTCTTCCTATGTCTCTGCCTTTCAAATCAAACTCTGGGTTGAAGTATTCCTCCAGAGTTATAGCAGTGGGATTGTTGGTTGCAGCATATTCTGTAGTTCTGGATGTACTCTAGAAGGAAAGAGAGGAAAAAAACAACCCAAAAAGTAATGAACAGTGGTTAACACAAGAAACTTTTCATTTACCCTTGGTGAAGCAACTCCTTCCCTATTTCAGACACAGTGACACCCAATGATAAACACCAGCTGTTATTAGACTGAGGTTTTATTCTGTTTTACTGAGGTTAAAAATCTCCAAATTTTTAGAGACAGAAAACATCTTAGACACTTTAAAGCTGGAAACCAACTAGAAATACACAAATGAGCCACAGCACTTCCAGGCTCCAAATCCTTTACCAAAGTCAAAACTTGGATGGAGGATTTGAACCCAAAATCTCTAAATCCCTGTAAATGTGCAATGCCATCCTGACAGAGAGCCAGCAAATCCATTATCCACTGCTCTTTCACAGTTTAGAAGCAAGGGAGCTTCTAAAGCCAGGTGGAATCATGGAATGGTTTGGGTTGGGATCTCAAAGTTCATTTATTTCCAACCAAACAAAAACACCCTCAGGGCAAATGAAAACCTCAATGAAAACTGCTGCCAAGCTAAGGAAACAAGAGGTGACTCCACTGCCCAGGAATTCTCCTGGCACAGTGACCTGTGCTGACATCAGACACTCACCTGAGCACCACATTCGTGCTCCACTGTCCCCAGGAATGATTCCAGAGGGCTCCTATCAGCTTCAGGTAACAGGAGGGAAAACAAAACCAGACATCAGCATTAATTAGCAGTAAAACTGGAATTCAGGCCAGGCTTCCCACTCAAAGGGAAATTATTCAGATCTCCTGTGAGCTTTACCAGGCAAGCCCAGGACCCACAGCTGATAGTCCAAAACAGGTACAACACACAGAACAGAGCACAGATTTTCAGTGGTTTCTATGATTAGCAGACACCTTTATGAGTCCCAGCACCTCAGGGTAGGAGAATTTCCATATAAAGTTACTGGCTGGTCACCCTTTACTCTAATTCAAATACCAGAAGAAATTAGTAGACCAAAACAAAAATTCCAAGCAAACAAAGCCTCTGTGAATCTTGTATCCATGGCCAAAGTGAAGTAAGGGCAGGAATACATTCCTGAGCAGAAAAGTGCAGCCTTTTAAAACTGTCAGCAAACTTTCAACAGGTTTGAAGGGGTTTTATTTCCTCTAAATACAGCTGGGATAAAACCAGGTTCATTTGTAGGTTAAGAGTGAAATAATGAGCTGCCTCAGACACAAAAGGAAATCAGGGCAAAGTCAGCAAGAAGAGAATTTCCTTGTTTGCCTGCCCAGTTCTTCAGACACAAAGGAGGTGTCAGACAACCAAAGGGAGATTTGTATTTATTCCCAATTTTTCTCTGGGGAAGATACCTTTATATCTCCTCTTCTCCTCTTCTGTTAAATGCTCTGTTCTGATCCGTGTGATCACGTTCACATTGTTTGCTGTGTAGACCTTACAAAAAAATACAGAGATAAAAACCAAGCAACATCAGAGGTTAAAAAAAGAGCTCCCCAGTGAAACATCATGGACACAAAACTAACTGAACCAACCTCAACACCAGACAGGCATTTCCAAGAGATTTTAAGAAATTATATTTAGTAACAGTTTGGGAACATTATTGAACCCTCTGTCCAGCTGAACAGCCCTGCAGTCTTATCAGGAAAAACCTTCAGATAAATGTAAAAGCTACTCAGCACTTACTCTTCTGGTGAATTAAATTACAAAATGTAATTTATTGCACCAATTCCCAAACCTGGAGTAAACACAGAATCAGGGAAATTAAATCTTGTGATTCTGAATCTAAATTCCTACCACAGTAAGGCTGCCAAACCACCTTGAAAAATATTTCCCTGAGGTGAAACAGAGGTCAGAACCAGTGTCAGGAGGAACCATTCTAAGCAGCTGTGGCTCAGGTGCAGTTCATGAATTCATGATGCCACTCATGGCTGCTGGTCCCTTGCAGTGCTGTTATTATCATATTATCATATTATTATTATTATTATTATTATTATTATTTTCCTCAACTTTCACCCACTGAAACAATGGCAGTGTTCAGGTGTGAGTGAAGTGCAGCCCTTGGAAGGGAAGGACTGCAGGCTGCTCTGCTGAATCTCCTGTCCCTGCTCTCCCCTCTCTGATCCCCCTGGGACATTCCTGCACGTGGGCTCCATCCCTCCCACAAGCCTGGAGGTTCCTCACTCCAGCCCAATTCTGCTGGCAACACAATCAATGCCCCAATAGGAATCTGAAGACCTGAAGTAGTCAGGAAATACAGAAAAAGCACAGCCAGAATCCAATTTGCTGCAAGATCTCTCAGAAGAACAGAACAAGCTTTACCTTGGCTTCATAACCATTGACACCTTCTGATTTTTCTGTCCTCCATACCCAGAATCCAGATGTGGTTCTGACAAAAAGGGAACACCACAAGTGTCTACACAGCTGCATTTTTATACAACCCCCATCTGGTTTTTCTAGATCTCATTTTAAAGAACATTTGACAGGAGATACCTGGATAAATAGGTGCAGTCATGAAGAAAAACAAATATGTGTCTGTTAAAAGACACACTGTGCATATTTACTTAAAGTATTCATGTGAGAGTTGACTTATTTGGTACCAAATCCAAGTTCTTGTCCATCAGTTCCAGCACATGGATTTGTGTGAAAAGCAAATTTGCAGTGAGCAATTGACTCAATCTTAGAGGCCTTTTCCAACCTTAATGATTCCATCCCACTAATGTGATAAACTGGAAGTTTTCTGCCAATGACTTCTTTCAATTGGAAACTTTTTGCCAAGCAATACTAGCTATTTGACCAACCCAAATTTCTTCATCTAGTGATTTATGAAGTTTAAAATAATTTAAGATGCAGCCCTAAAAGTTTTAATTACCAAAACTTTTGTGAGTTTGTCATTAAAGCTTTTTTCAGACACAACATCAAAATGTTTGTTTGCTAAGAGAAACTCCCTGTCTTACCTTTCAAAAGCAATGTTTTTGGTATCAAGGCACGTGCTGATGATTGGGGATGTGAGGCGCCTCTCCACATCTTTCCTTTTGGGTGTCATGGATCCCAGAGTCAAACGTTTCATGTGCTGGGAGATCTCAAACCTCTCTGTTGTCACAAACTTGTCATCGTGGTTGATCTCAATGAGCTCTGCCCAGCCACCAGAGTCTGGTGGAAGAAAAGGAATGCTTCAAGTTAAAAAACTTAGCAAGTGCTCCAGGGTGAAGAGCTGGGGGTATATCGTGTATCAAACCCAGCTGTTTCTGCATTCAGCTGGGATCAAACTTGGAGATGGAACTAAAATGATTTTTTATATGTAGGGCAGCAGAAAAGGAGGAGGGAAACAGTAAAATACTGACATTTTACCCCATCACCAAATTTTTACCTCAGATTTACACTGTTAATTACACTGAATAACACTGAAATTACACTGTTGCTGAAAGACACGAGAGAACACAAGCACACCACCGCTCTCAAGGTGAAGGGAAAAAAGGGAAGTTTTATTCTCTGACTCCAATATTTATGGTTTTACAAAAGTGACAGTGGATTGGAAGGTGACAGGGACACCTCTGCAATGACACTGGTCAAACTAACAGTCTATTAACTTTCTCTTCTTTTATAAAGGAATGAAAAACAATGAGTTATTTACAGAAAGTGTGTGAGAAAGTTCACTACAAGAATGTCAACATTAGAAAACTTAGAAAATCTTAAAAAACTAAAGTAACATTACACCATCATAAAACAGTATCCCTATGAGACACAAACAAGCATAAAACCTTCATAAAACACAAGAGGCCTTTTTGGTGCAAAATCAGGATTTGCTCACACGGTATTTGGGGGTGAGTGGTGCAGACAGGTGAACTCTTTACCTTCTCCCTTGAAGATGACAGTCCTCCTGCCCCTCTCCCAGCTCATGTTCTCAAAGCCCAGCAGGGTGATGTCCACGCGCAGCTTGGCCCGGCTCTTCCAGATGCGGCACACGTCGCTCGGGCACACCCTGGAAACCAGGGGCACTGCCACAGAGGGAGAAATGGAAAAATGGAGAAAAGGAAAGGGAAAATGGGCAAAGGTGCAGCACAGAGGGAATGAACTCCAGCCCAGGATTGCTCACCCCAGAGGAGGTGAGATACTGATCCTTTTTAGATTGAAGAACAACCAGCTTAGCGTAAAAGTAGCGTAATTTAAAGATGAATGTGAAAAGGAGGAAGATATTTGTTCAGACTGCAAGGTGTGAAATGGCATAAACCCCATGCCTGGCAGTACAATAGTTTGATATTTGAAATATTCAGTCAGCTGTGAGGCCTAGTGTTCATTCTTTTCAGGAAAAGCAGGAACTTCCCAAACAACCAGTGCATCCATAGATAACACATGATCACATGGCCAGGGACAGGTAAAAAAAACCCCAAGAAAAGTCCTCAGCAACTACCAAAATCTCCACTACCAAAAACTAACCAACCAACCACACAGGAAACAAAGAATAATTGTGCAACAAAAGCACAAGAGGTCATTTAGAGATGGAGGAGAGGAGGATTCCGTGGAGTGGATATTTCCCTGCCTGTGTTGTGGGACATTTGTAACTCATTTTTACAGCCTGGAATTGGTAACAAGGAGCAGAATTCTTACCCCAGCTAGTGAACTCCCATTTCATCTCCACATAAAAGTCAGGAGTCTGCAGAAGGAAAATATCTGATGAGTACCTCATGGAATAGTTTGACATTCATTGCAGCATTTCCTGTGAACATTTTAGAAAAAGGAAAAAGAAAAGGAGAGCAGAACTGGAGAAATGATTAGCCAATGCTAAAACTGAAATTGAAAGTAAAGGAAAAAGAAAAGGAGAGCAGAACTGGAGAAATGATTAGCCAATGCTAAAACTGAAATTGAAAGTAGCACAAGCAGGCACTCCCCTCCCCTGGTGCTTTCTGGGGAACTGTTCTTCCTTGTTCTACTGGAGTGGCAGTAATGCCTTCAACATTCAGCCTCCAATGCTGGAGTACATACAAAGGATTTAAATAAAGTCAAGGAAAAGCCTCCATGTCCCTCAACACTATGGAACATGCAGGCTGGAACAAAACACAATTGCCCAGCTGATTGCAATAGTACTGGAATGAGAATTCAAGCAGTGATTTCAGTCTGGAGAGAGAGTTTACACTTCAATAAATCATTACCTCATTAATTTTCTGCAGTAACTCAGGAACTCCTCCAAGGGTCATGGAGGTCTGCTGGTAGTCCCGATGCTGCAGGATCAGCTGGACCATCTCTGGATCCCCTGTGCTCACAGCCTCGTGCAAAACTGAAACAAACCCAACCACAGCCTTGTGTCACTTTGCTGCCCAAAACTCCCCATAAAAGCACAGAACACCTACTGCTTAAAGAAAAGCACCCCAGGCTGTTCTTACCCGTCCATCCCTGTGCATTCTCCTTGGTCACATCTGCCTTGTGCTGCAGGAGGACCTTGGCAGACTCGATGTAACCCAGGGAAACAGCCAAGTGCAGCAAGGTCCTGCCCCGAGGGTCCCGCTGGTCAACGTCCTGAGAGAGGAACAGAGCCCATCAGAGCCTGCACAGACACAGGGCTAATCCAGGAGCCAGCATTCCCTGCCAGTGCCCAGGAGAGAGGAACAGAGCCCATCAGAGCCTGCACAGACACAGGGCTAATCCAGGAGCCAGCATTCCCTGCCATTCCCATGGATCTGCTCCCAAACTCTCCTGCACTGCCCCTCTGCAGGGCTGGCTCGCTTCTCCACAGGAATAAAAGGAGAAGCAGAACAGGGCCTAAAAAATGACACAAAATCTGTAGGACAGGAATTCTTGCTGGTGCTTTTCAGTTCTTTTTCTGTCTCCCCCCAGAAGGCTCAGGAGGAGATGGGGGCTCTCATCCGTGTGCATCACCCCACAGACAGCCTGAGACCCCACAGAGGGGTTAAACTGTACAACAGAATGGGGAGAAAACAGGAAAAAAAAGGCAACAGGGCACACAACACAGCTTTTGGACAGCACTTTTGGAAAGGACAGAAGCAGATGGTGTTTCACAAAGCACACACAGCACAATGAGGAGTGAGGGCATTCTCTACAAGTCACTAAAAATAAAAAATAAACTACACAGGCACAAATATCCAAAACATGCAAGCACAACATACTCATACCTTACACATTTTTCACTATTAGCTTAGAGATTTGAAACAGAAGAGCATCTATAACTAAAGGAAAAGGGGAGAGTCAATAGCAGAATGAGAAAGGAAGGTTATTATGCACGTTAACAGCGTTATCTGACAGCTGCAAGTCAGAAATATCTCACTGAGAGTGGGAAAGCTTCACTTTAAAGCATCTTCTGGGGTGGAACATTAATTAACTTGCTTCTCCACCTCCTGCAGTTCCAAAGAGCTCCAAGGGTCCCTCCCCACTGAGTTTGTTGCTGTTCCCTGGTCCCCACATGCCCAACCCCGTTTGCCACCCCAGCTGCAGCTGGGATGTGCTTTGATCCCTCCCCGCAGCAGGAAGCTCATCCCAAAGAAGCAGGGGGAAACAGATCTTTGGAATACTTAAAAAAAGGGAAAAAAAAGGTGTTTAAAAGCAGGTAAAGGAAGTAAGAGAGACATCCATCTTCGCACAGGGAATGGAGGGAGGAAGCAGCACTCCACAGGTGGGAGCTGCTGAGTGATCCCCGTTTAACCACAAACTCTCACAGGTGTCAGAAATAAACACACAGGAGCAACGTGCCAGTGAGATTAAAGGTTTTGGTTAATGCAGAAGGTGACATGAATTAGATAAAAAGTGAGTGCATTCCAAAGATTCTCCCAAACCAGGGCAGGAACATGCTCTGAGCAGGAATTAGTAAGTCAGGTGCACCGTTAGAGCTGCAGGTGACAGTCAGGAGGTGGCACAGCTGGGCTGGGCTCACGTACTTGTGGTGTCAGGTATGATTAATTAATCAGCTCTGCTTATTAACCGTACCTCACTCTAGCCCTGGTCAGAGCTTTTCCACAGCAGCTCAGCCAGAAGGATTTTTGCTGCTGCAGCTTTCAGGCCATTTCCTTACATCATCATGGCCCAGAGAGGGGACAGCTTTGTGTTTTCTACTCTCCAGCACGGAACAATGATCCTTTTTTTTTTTTTTTACCAGAGATGCTGAAAACATTCCAATCAATATAAAAACTCTGCCCTCAATCTTGGGCAACAACAAATCTATAGGATGGTGCTCAGCAAGGTGGGAGCTGGTTTGATGTCCAGCAGCACCAGCCATTTTTGCTGCACGTTGATTTCCCATTAAGATAAACACTATTTATTGCTTTAATAAATAAATTAACGTCCATCACAGCTGCTCTTCTTTAGCTACTCCACAGCTGCACTGGAATGCTCACAGCAAAGCTTTACAGATAGGAAGCCAACAGATAGGATATGTTAGTATCTGAAATAAAAATATATTCCTACATCTTCTCACATCACTTCCACACCACAAATAAACAGGTAACGAAGTGCAGGGATCCCTCAAGCTCCTGGCAGCACCACCAGGGTGCTCCTCCCTGGCACAGCGAGGGCCAGCAGCCCCCCAGGAGCCCCCAGCCCCCTTTACCTGCTCCTGCAGCTCCTCGTCCAGCCGCCTGTAGTCGTTGTTCCACACCAGGACGTGCAGGGGGAAGGCGCTGCTGGCCCCGCCAGGGGAGCTCATCCCGGCACGCACCTGCGGAGGGGCAGCCGGGGCCCCTCACTCTTCCCTCTCTGGGTGCTGCAGACCGCAGGTTACTCAAGCCTTGACCCCTTCAGCTTCTGCTCTCTGCTGGCACCCACCTGGCCCA